GAAAGAGTGGGAACTCCTGGTCATTTGAGGTAAGGATGCATAGAAAAATGTTTGCTAACCTGCTCAGTTGCACTCACTCAGAGGACTAAGGTTATGCCTGCTTTCTTTCACTTCAAATCGCAGTTCAATTTCTCATTCAAACAACAAACTTTGGATCAACCACTGCCAAAAGACCTCAAAGGATAACAGACTCCCTGCACTGCCCAGAGCAGAGTGACTGTGCCACTAGCTTTTCAAAACAGGAGAAAAAATGTAACTGGCCATGCTGTTCACAGAATATTATTCTTAACTTTCACAGTGGTTGTTAAAATGCACTTATGAAAAGAAAAACGACAGACTTCACACATATGCACACATATGAACATACAGTAGATACTGTCTTAACACATAACATAATACCTATATATTTGCACCAGAAGAAACACACAAAAGGGTTGTAGAGTCGTGAAAGCAAGCTACTGTATATTTTCTTAGATTTTTATTGATTTTTCTTCATAATAAAATACAATATTAATAAATACATTGATACAAGGTAAGTATAGTGAACAACAAAATAGATGTTCAAATTGCAATAATACACTTCTTGGTCAACTGTATAACATTGAAGGCAACATTCCTTTTAAGTAAGGACATAATGAACCATCAGGTAAGCGTTTAAGATCAAGTAATACAGGTAAACAAGTTTTTTCCCTATACAGGAAAATGAAGGCAAGTATTCAAATATAAATACAAACATCAAGTCTGCAGTACAATCCATACTCAGTAGTTCTGGCAATGTACCGTACATTCTCTGGTAATTAATTCCCTGTGCTTTGTAAACCATTAAGATAAATTAATAATTATTAAAAAAAAAAATCCAAACCAAAAAATAAGCTTTTTCTCCTCTAAAGTGAAAGCAAAGCAATTCGGTTGGCACAAAACCTCCTGCATCCTTCAGCCAGTCCAAGGAGGAACCCGCAGGTTCATTCATTAGTAAAAGGTCAGGTAGAGCGAACATGCGACTCAGCTCTCATTAGTTACACCCAGACAATCATGTCTTTAAGAAATGGATGCTGGGGTTCAGGGAGGCATTTTATCTCCCATAAAGGTTTTGATATGGTCAAAGAAATCTTTGCTGCAGCTGGTCAGATTCGGTTAAGACCCGAGGCTGTGTGTCACAGGAACCCCTCCTCTGCCTGGTGTCAGGGCGCAATCCAGACAGGGATTTTACCTCACAACCTGCCAGACTCTGACGTTTAATACAGGTCCTCTGCAGTACATTATAAACTACCACACGATGCTTAATACAATCTCTTTATATTATTCTCCTTTTCATTCTCTATTAAGCAACAGAAAATACAAATGAAATCAGAACAAAAGCCACGCATCTCAAGTAACGCAAGTTAAGCAGAAAGCATATACCTACAACAGAACAACTGATAAAATAACGTGCTCATCTACTGCATAAGCATCATTGTAGAGCAGTAGAACATGTAGATGTCCCCCTGCTAAACAACCTGGGTTTTGGTGTTTCAAAAAAAATTTTATAAAAATAGAAAAACCTCTCCATATTTATGAACTAAGAGGAGAGTTGGATTTCTTTCGTTTCAAGTCAATAGAGGAAAAGGGGAAAAGGTGAGAAAGTACACTTAAATGTGATTTTTTTTTTTTTTTTTTTTGCTAAGCTCACAAGAAGTCCCTTGCTCATCCTCTTCTGATGGCTGATCCCATTTGCACATAAACATCTCAAAATATAGGCAATGCTTATGATATTTTGATGGTGGTTTGGGGTTGGTTTTTTTTTTTTTTCCTTAACCCTTGCTCTTACCAGGCAAGCAAAGAAGAGTATTTGAGGTTTTTACTTTTGCTTTTTGGGTTATTTTTTGAAGTTAGTCTAAAAAGACTACCACCAGTGTTATAGTTCAAGTAAGGGGTGCAGGGGACAGAACTCTACCAGCTGCTGGCAATACAACACTACCAGTACAGATAAACTCAAACACATGCTTTTCGATACCAGAAAATCTACACCAAGAGTTTTGGAAACGAATGCCATTCAGTAGGAGGCAGCCTTGGCTCTACCATGATATTTTAGGAGAGTGAAGGACTTGTGAATTTTATGTGAAGGGGGACACTGATATGAACTGGAGTCTCAGAGGAGCCAGAAACCAGAGCATATTCATAACTGTATCTGGTGCAGCCTCGAAAGAGATAGCCTTAGAGAAAAGTACATATTAATATTCTTTTTGATTGTTACTATTTTTATTTTAGTTTTAAAATCTGAATTCTTTTGAATTCTTTTCCATTTGCTGAAATTTTCAGGGGGTCTGGAAAAAAAAGCAAACAATACCCTGTGATATAGTATAAAACTAATATTTCAAAATAAAGTTCAAGCTAAATCAGATAACTTCATAAAAATGTGTTCACTGTCAGATGCAATTTTTTCCCCCAAGAAAGACATTGTTAAATGACCAATTAAGTAACATAATCATGCAACTGAACATGGAGGTCAACCATGCAGCTAACAGCAATGATTGTAAGTGTACCTGATTATCATGAAGATTTTCTGCTCCCGGGCGAGGGGATGACTCTTCACATACAGCAAGACTCCGAACAAGTTTTCCTTTAGCTCCTGACTGAATAAGGGAGAGAGAGAGAGAGAAAAAAAAACAACAAACAAAACAAAACAAAACAGAGAAGACTACTACTGACCCCCAGTCACATAAGCTGCACACATCAGCTGTCCCTAACTATCCCAAATGACTATTACCCACCCAGCCAGCAAAATTGTATCTGACTTTGATAAGGACAGAAAAAGATTCTAAGCAATGAGCCATTTGCCAGACAGGGAAGGTGGTAGGTTTCTTTTTGCTTTTAATCATTTCTGCTACAGTTCACTCACTTCCACCAAAAGTTGTAAAAGCAAAGAATAGATAACTCAATACTGAAGGTAATTTAACATAAAATTAAATTCAAATGTTCCTTCTGTCATTTGACGTTGGGTTGGTTTGTTAATTTGTTTTGGGTTCCCCCTCCTCCCCGTCTTCTTCTAGTAGTATTATATCCAACGAACACTGCACTTGGAAAATTAAAATAAGGGCTTGGGGTTTTTTTTGGTTCCTAGAAGCTCCTTTCCGACCCCCATTAGGGAGCTAGTCAGTCTCTGCTTCTTTATGTCAAGATTAGTCCATTATAATAAAATTCAAACAAAAACGTTAATTATTAAAGGAACAAGCTTTTTCCTTCCCCAGCGGCACGCAGAAGCACACATGCCGTCTAACACAAGCCCACACCGAGCCTAGCAGCATAAAAGTATGATGGATAAATAAAGGGGAGCCTGATACATTTTATCTAGAGAGAGTCCTCTGCACAACAAGATTATGGGGTAAGGGAGAAGAAAAAACACACAAACAAAAAAAAAACCAACCAAACCACCATGTAAGTGATGAAAGGCCATCACTGCAGACAGATATTTGATTGAAATTCTCTATCCTACCATGGCATGCAATTCCAAACAATGATGGATCCTTACCTTGGATCTCTTTTTCTGCTGGTTCTGATTTGCACTTCGTTTCTGGGGACAGCAAAAAAAAGAAGCAGTTATCACTTCAGTGGAAAATGCGCATGACAAGAGCATTACCAGTAAAGAGACTAAATCACTCCTAAATGATATTTTAATCAGTTGCTGACTTCAAAAACAACTTCCCCAAACCCAGTCTGGAAAGCAGGGAAAAATCAAGAATCATATCTGCTCACTTTATTAATTTTAAGAGCAGGTATAAACAACAAAACCACACTGTAGTGTTCTGTAATTTTGCATATAATAAAAAATGTAAGAAAAGGCATACTTAAGTAAATGCTCTCCCTCTCCAAATTCCTTTAATTTGTGGTCTCCCCCTTTATTTTTTTTTTATTATATTTGAGTAAAAAAAGATTAAAAACACCTCATCCGATAAAGTCCTATCAAATGACCTTCTTAGGCTTTGCATGACAACTTTTTGTTGGCAGTAACACCTACAAACCAAACCACATAGTAAGTAATTATTCATTAGTATTACCTGTAAATTCATGAGATCAAGGTAGTTTTCTAAACCCCCAAAGAGGGAAAAAAGTAAAATATTTCACCAAGCATTAACACAAACATCTAGAAATTAACTTTTCAGAAAAATCAGAAACATGGACAGCAGCCTAAAGAGCTTGAAATGTATAACAAATAACAGCATTTATTTCATGAGCAGATAAAAGGACACAAAATTTAAAAAAAAAAAAAAAAAGAGAGAGAAACAGTCTCAAAATTATGAGAGGAAAAAATAGGGTGAGCGTAGGCAAGGAAACAGATCATAGAAATGGAAAGGCAATGGTAACACGCTGATATTTAATGCACCCATTCACTCTTCCTGTCTTACCTGCAGCTCTGTCTTGGCATCGCTCAGCTTCTCCTCCTTCTCCTCTACTTCTGAGCTTTCAGATTTATTAAGCATACAGTTGTCCGGGTTCGCTTCTGAGATGGCAGTCTCCTGCTCTTTCACAGCTTCCTCCGCTGTCTCCTGGTTCAATTTACCTTGCTCGGACATTCTTCCAGATAGAAATTAAAATAACAAGATTTGGTGACCTGAAAGGTCAAGATACCACGACACAAACACACACATAAAAAAAAAAAAACAACACACAACACTGGGGGTGAATTTTTAATTTTTTTTTTTTTCCCCCAAGTAAGCACTTTAGTTTCCTATGATAAACAAATCAAAACATGCAGCTCATGAGTGGAAAGCTATATATGACCCAGCTGAAGAGATGTACTGAATCAACAATATTGGATAGCAGCAGAATTGTGTCAGGTTAAACAAGCGGATCTCTGATCTAAGCAGTCTTGGTGGGGAGAAGATTGAAGGTAAGGTGCTGTGGCTCCCCAGCCCTGCCTCTCCCAGCCCAGCCCCAGGACTGCCAAGGTGCAAGCAGGGACAGTGAACACCTCTCTGCTACAGAGCTCAGCAGCACCAGGCAGGAAGGACCCGTTTGGACTTCCAGGTCTCTGGCATCTCAGTGCTCCCCCCCTCTAGATTTTTTCCTCTTTTTATTTATTTTTTTTTTTTTTAAATAAAAAAATAGCCAAAGAAACAAAAGAAACAGAAACAAAAACCAAGCGTGAGCAACAATACTTGTTTTAGCACTCAGTCATGGTGCCTGTACATAGCAGAAGCCCATGGTACTCACTACCGGTTTTGTTTATTTTTTTTAAAATATATATTAATATATATTTATATACATATATATTTGAAGAGGTAATAATTCAATACAAATATGAAATCTAAATTTGGCAATAAAGTTTTCAGGGTCAATGTTTTCCAAGCATCAAACTGACAGCTCCATTATTAAAATCCTAAGCCTCTTCCCAAACCCCATGTCACTCTCCAGCACTATGAAAATCCTACAGGAAGCCCTTGGCAGGTATTTCTAATGAAAACATCTTAACTGAGCTGCATTTACTCTCAGCTCACAATGGGTTGTTGTACAGAAGCTTTAAAGGCTTTTCAAAGTTAAAACCTATTATTATTTTCTCTCTCATTCTCTCTCTCCCCCCAGCTCCCTCTTGAAGCCTCCCCCACTGATCAATTGTCAAATGAGACTCATGAATAATTTAAATTTTCTTTCCCCATCCATTTGGCTTAAGAAGTATCTTCGGGAAAAACAACTACAGTTGAGAAAGGGAGTTATTTCAGAAAGGGTCTTTTGCAATACCTTGCCACTTCTCAACAACGAAACAGTGACTATTAAGCAAAACCACACTTTGCCATGTTCCTCCTTACAGCTTGTAATTAGCATTCAACAGATCTGGTATCACCTTCAATTTTTTAAAGCTATGTTTTAAGTGAATACATAAGACATACTGAATTTTAAAAACTTACTACTTCCAATTTACTACTTTCCAAGTTTTGACACTGTAAGCAAATAAAATAATAAAAACTTTCCAACATAATCTTCCCGTTTGAGAAGGATTGTGGATTTCACAAGAAATGAAGCCACACAGTTCATAAATAAATCAACTGGAATATGAAGTTCACAAGTTAGCTCACAGTAAGCCAAGTCAAGCTTTGAGTTGTTCTCCTTCCTCCCACCGTCCTTCCCCAGGAGTCCCATGATATTGGCCATTCTGCGGTTACAACTGAAACTTGAACCGCTTTGACAAAAATTCAAAACACGATGAATGACAAGACCTGAAACTGATCTGTTAAACAATCCTTAATCTGTTTGGGATTTTCATCCAGAAATGCACACGCATGCACAAATTCTTCATGGGCATATTACCCCACAGCTCATCTACATGCTTACATAGCGTTCACAAAAACAATTACACCCACAGTTTATCAGTTGCACCGAAGAAGCCATTTACCTGAAAAACTGCTATAATTCCCACTGTCTTTCTAGTGTCTTCTGTTGCTCTTCGCTAGTTAAGTCCACACAAATGATCAATGACAATGTGAGTCCCATGTCCCCATTAACAGTTCAGCGTGCCAATCTCCATGCTGATCCTTCAGAGAGTTTGACAGATCATAGTCAACCTGGAAAAAGACAAAAAGTAAATAAAAACAACAGTAATGATCATGGTACAAGGAAAGGATGCAACGGACAGGATTAGATTTCTAACACTAATGACCAGCTTCAAGCAAATCACTTTCACAGCTTGATCCAGCTCCACCTGTCTCAAAACTGCCTGCTTCTTCTCTAATGAAGGCTAGAGCCGGCTGTTCAAGTCATAACAGCTCCTACGCAAGAAGCTAAAATTAACAATTGCATTATGCACTGAAGATTACTCACTTCAATTTTAACCTTTTTTAGTGAATTCCAGCACTTTTCATTAAAAAAAGCATATATACATATTTATATATAAGCTCATCTGTTTGCTTCAACAGAAATCAATGAGGGTATGAGGAAAAAGGACTCGCCTGCTTTTTAACTACAGCTTCTGCTCCAATTAAAATTTCAATAGTCAAACGCTATTGAAAATGAAGCTAGGTGCATGCTTTTAGAAAGCGACCTCCTTTGCCATGCTAGTGAATCGAATATTCATTTAATAAGTCAAATAAAAGTTGAAAAGATCAAGAATGGGAGAAGGCAAAGGAAGAAATCCTATTCCCCCAACAACAGCCACCAGAGAAACTTTCTTTTGAGGCACTGTGTGAGGAGGAAAAAGGAGATCTCCAGGTTATGGTTTGGAAAAGAAACCTGAAGAAAGAGTTGCCTCGGCAATGCAATTTATGCTGTTAATCAGGATTGTGTTTGCCAGCTGAAGAGCTGACCTGACAGAAAAGGAGCATTTTGGGGTGAGTCCAGCTGATTTACAAGCCATGGCCATGTGCCGAACTGTCTTGATACCACAAGCATCTCAAGGCTTGCGTGTGAATCATGGTTGAAGCAATTAGTGTAAATACACAAAAACAGCAAATAGGAGGAAACATGTATCATTCTGCTAGGGTGAAGAGGCATCGGTGGAACAAAACTGGAAATCAACTCACTCATATAAGACTCCTTGTTTCTGAGGCACATTTTAAATTGTGCATGGTTGCAATTGCTCTACAGTATGTGGCAGTGCACTGGAACTCACCATGTTAAGAGCTGAATTTCATGCACCAGAAATGGAATTTAGCCTTTCACAAAAATCAAGTCCTGCTTTCTCCAGGCGCTGAGAGGAAGCCAGCAGGCAGTTCTGTAAACTACTGCTGTCACTCTGCAAGTTTATATACATAAAATATTTCTTTTCCTCAAACCACTTAATTTGTACAGAGTAATACAACGTACATCTATACAGAGTAACACAAAGTACGTCTTCCCATTCACTTTTTGGTATTTCTCACAGGACATTTTCCAAACTTTTATCTCATTGACAAACATACTTACAGGACCACAATAGGAGTGGAGGAACAATATGGAAAATTATGCCTAAGCACTCAAGCACAGGCAAATGTATTTTACGGAGCCAACAGAGAGAAAAGAGTAAATATACCACTGTTTCCTCATAACCATATTCCATTAACCCTTTCCCTCACAGTTCTGAAAGGAGGTTGGGGGGTGAAATCAACCAAAACCAACCACAAACCAAAAAAAAAAAATCCAAGGAAACACAGTGCATTACAGTTTCACTTGGAAAACAGCCACCCAGGGGATGGACCATTGTAATCAAAACCCTCCAAAACTAACTGAGAAATAGAGATCTGCACCAAAAGCAGGACACACAAAAATATTTTCAGATTCTTCAGCTGTTACCATGTGTTGTGAATTAACTATTCATAAAGACAAACAGAGCAAAACAAAAAACAGACAACAAACCAACCAACAAAAGGGTATCATAATCAGCAAGTGAAGAGATCCGCCAAGACTCAAATAAACAGCATTTCTGGTCTTGTGCCACAGATGCTCAACATAATGTTATCATGCTTTACCAAAGACATATTTCTTCATAAACTGAGTTTCCCATATTGTTACACTTAAGATCTCTGATGGCAATGTAATTTTTCATTGGCAATGTAACAGAAGACCATAGAATCTTAAATTAAAACAACAAAAAACCCACATAAATTTCCCCAAGAAAATATAAGCAAGCAGAAAACAAGCTTACAGTGAGCAGCTACCATTTTTCAAACCCGCAATGATAATTTTTCTTAGGATGATTATTTTTAAAAGTTCTTCATAATTATCTTCG